AAGTCATCACCCTACTCAGACCTCTGGAGGTGGGAGATCTGATGCAGCTGATGGGGTTTGGGCAGTGTTCACAGTGGGAAAGGACAGCCAAAGTAGCCTTCGGGGCGGGGGGTGCCTTTGGGGTCAATTCAGTGTACTGTTTTTCTTCCGCAGCTGAATGTGTAGTAAAAATTGATGTGTGATATGGTTGTAATTATACATCTCACAAGTGTCAGAGGGAATCATCTCAATTAGGAAGAGCTGCATATTGTGTAGTGAACATACCTTTGGTGGTCCCCAAGTCCTTCTGACCTCTTTCAGCTAGAAGTCTCTGTGACTGGAGATTTTGCAAATCGGAGCTTCTGACAAAGTCAGGCAGCTTCCACCCATCAGTGCTGCTTGGGGATGTGGGCCCCCTGCTGCCCCGATACAGCTACCAGGTACCTTTTGAAAATCAGCTGTAAGCTTATCATTGAGCTCTTACTGAAACTGGACACCTGACTAATGGGGACCTTGTGATTCTCTGTTTTTTTTATTTCTGTTGGGAAAGGGGGAGTCAATTTGGACTCAGTGATTAACAAGGTAAGACAATTTCAACAGACTTCACTAATCAGAAGGAAGTTTGTACTCAAGAAACTGGTCAGCCTGTCCCCAGTGCAGTCTCAGCTTTACATACAAAAAGTAGCAGTTGTCCTTTCCTAGCTACTCTGATGCCAGAAACAAAGGTACTGGCTCAGTGGGACCCCTCTGTTCACAGTGCTTTCCCTAATGCTGGGGCCTGGTTGGATGATGTTTTGGTTAAGCTGAAACCTGATAATGTCCGCTGGGCTGCTGTGGTTGTACAACCACTGCAACAGCTGTGCAGAACTGAAAATGTACGTGATCACTCTACTCAGCAGAACTCCAGGCCATTCCCATATTGTTACTGACTCTTGGGTTGTAGTCAGTGGTGTAGCTTATGTATCTGCCATTTGGAAATTTACAGACCAACAGATTAAAGACACTTTGAGGGGAGGGGCTATGAGTTCAAAACTGCTGGTCGAATCATCTGAGGCCTATACTCTGATGAGGCCCACCGTAATTAAACTGCTGAATAAGTCTCCATCAGCTGATGACCACCATTGCTGCTCAAGAAACTATAGTACCGATTATGACAACATATCCACTATCATAAAATAGGTGTAAAGTAAACATTAGTATTCAGCTGTTTGGGTCCAGGACCATTGGGAGAAGGGAGCAAGGCTGAAATCAGTACTGAAGGTTGGCCTTATTTTGCTAGTTGGAGTTCTGTTGAGAGTAGCTATAATCAAATGTGTTATGAGATCAATTGAACAGATTTGGTACTAACCTTTGTTCATTAGAGTAATCAGAGGGACCAACAGAGTGATTTACTATCAGAAAAATTTGTCATACACAGAGATGGTGTAAAAATAAGTAGTAGGTGTTACTGGAAAATAATTCTCCAAGGATGCCATGTCTATATGTCTTGTAATGGAGGTGTGATTGCCTTTCTTCCAGACTTTCTTTTCTAGGATTTTTGTATGAGGAACAACTCTGAATGATAGAAATACCCTTCTGGAACAACGAGTAAGTGTGCTTAAAGCCTTGGACAATAGAGATAGTGCCTTCCTTTGAATGAAAAGGCAAGAATGCTCATGGTCAGGTGTAAAAACATAGCGTCTGCCTCTGTTGCCAAGGAAAGAGATAATTACTGTACATTAGTAAAGGTTCAGGTTCTCTATGGTGGGAGTTCCTTTCCTGCAATGCAGCCAATTGCTTGTGCATGCATCATATGCCCCACCTTGCTTCTTTCTGTCTGAGTTAGGGTTTGAGGAATAATCACATTCATTCGATAGCTACTGTTATTTTTTGTTAGTAATAAGTTTTGGGTTTTTTTTCCCTTCTTCTCTGACCCAGGAGTCTGTGCCTTCTGTTAGCATCCATGGCAAGCTCACTTGTTAGCTTGCATGTAGAGCAAAATTTCAGACTCTTCACTCTTCACAGTCAGAAGCTATAAAAGATACACCTCTCATCTCAGTGGTCTGAAATAGGTGATGTTTATTTTTTTCCATTCAATGTACAAAATAATTTCTTCTTCTTGGCATAAAATCCTTATTTAAACTGTGATTCAGGGATTAGGCTCCTTCAATTTTTTTGGTCTTTATTAGCTTCCAAGTTTGCCATACTCACCTGCATCAAGCTGACTGAAGGGAAAAGAATGTTGAGGAATGTGCATGGGATAGTTTCAGGGTCAAGCTTAAAAGTGGTACATGTCATTCACGTTCGTTTTCATTGAGTAGAACTTGTTCAAACATTACCCTTAGGGGAGAAACACAGTTCGGTCCTTTTCCACAGATAGGTGGTGTTTCCAACCAACAGACATGAAAAGTGAGCAAGATGGGTCTCTAACATTGTTAAAATCATAGGCTGCATGAAATAGAGTGTGGTAGACGATAACAGTCTAGTCATGAGTCATCTTTTACCTTAGCTTGGTCTCTCTGAAGGTGACTGGCAAATGCTGAAGGATTTTAATGTTGAAAAAGGGAGATTAAGGGAGAATACTTTTAAAGCTGTAACAACAGGCTGGATGAGGGAAAAAAATGACAATTTTAATGAAGCCATGACAGAAGAGATTCACTAATACAATAACAAGTAATTATTGAGCACACTCTAAGGGTCATGCATTGTGATGGGTGCTGGGTATTTGCCAAGTTAAAATCAGTAACAAATGGACCAATGAGACATCAGTGGTAAGAGTGAAGTTAAAAATGGCATGTGGTAGGAGAATGTCTGAGGACAGGTGTGAGGTGGGAAAAAAATGAGATCAGTTTTGAAACATTAAATTCTGTGTGCTTGTACAACATTTAGGTGGATATGGCCAGCAGGCATTGTTTATGTATAGCTGAAGCTCCTTAGAAAAGTCAATACAGAGTTGGTATGTCCATGGGGAGAATAAAGATCACTGAGAGAGAGCTCTCACATCACACATATTCATCAAGTGTGTGTTCATCGACTTTTGTGATATTTATTTATATTTGCTGTTAAAAAGAGGGACTTATTACTCTTTGAATTACTGAACATATTCTAACTTTCTTCTTATTTCTTAGGTATTCATGTAGAGTTAGTATGTACCCATGCCTGAAAAGACATAATAGTAGCCTTCGATTCCAGAAGAAATCTAAAATAATGTTAAGGGAACACATATTCTGCTTTGACAGAAATGGCAATAATTGGTCTATCATTTCTTTAGATTGCTTGTTTCTTCTGATGGCTACAGTGATGCATGGGAAAGTCTCAAACTCTTTAATTGTACTCAGTGTATTGTTATTGGCTTAAAAAACATATTTTCCTTTTCTTTTTGGATAAACTCAGCTGTTTCATCAAGAAGTACCCTTCATCCATGTATGCTCCAAGCTAACTGCTGTTGCAAATGCAGTTTCAGGATACAATCAGTGATAATGAGACCACTTGGTTCAAGATTGCCTGGTTTCGTTTTGTTTTTTTCATTTTTGTAGTCTTAGGACCGGAGGTAGTAAGAGATAGGAGTGAGCTTCTCTTTATTCACAGCACTTTCCCCTGCCATGCTTGTCCTTTGTTGCCTGGTTGAAATTATGACCACTCTGTAAATGAGGCCTGATTTTCACGAGCGCCCTCGAAATGGAGCCTATCGCTCAGGATGGCCATGCTTCCCTGTCTGCCCTCCACCCTCCCGGGCTAACTGTGTGAGTTGTGGTCTGCTCAGAAGATGCAGCATGAGAGTACTCCTTTCTTCTTGGTTAATTTTTGCTTACTGAATTGCCCAATTTCATGGAAATTGCGGAGTAGTATGTAAACATTGTAACAGGAACCATCTGGGTTCTTCCACTGAGTAAGTTAGAATAGGATGCTAATAAAACCAAATAACAGCTTTGGACTCCAAAAGAGCCAGTGAGCATTTTTCTATGTCATAGAAACAAACCGAGTCTTGCATTCAAAACCGTCCCCTTACCAGAGCGTGTCCTTGTTACAAAGACAGGGTGAAATACTATAAACTGTTCAAACTACATTTATCACCCCTGATGAAAGACAAGACACAAAACCTTGAAGTACCGGCCCTGCTGATCTGGGTTGATTCCATCAGCTATCCATTTGAAGAACTTGATAATGACTTACCCAGACTTAACTTCGCTCAGAGATACCAGGAGGTTGTGTTTGTAGTGTCTGAAAAGATGTAGCCTACTTCTATTTTTAACTGCAATATGAAGTTCAGAAAGGCTGTTTCTAGTTTTCCTGTTTTAAACTAGTGTCCTTCTAAATATGGTATGTCCATAGAACTTACAGTATTTTAGGGACACCGGTTACAGAGTCCAGACCCTCATTCCATTTCAGATTTGGCATAAAGGTAACAGGGTGTAATGTTGGGCTGGAACTTGGCTGTTTCCAGTGGGATATCGAGGGTTAAATCCTACTGGGATGGGGGTCCTGTCTTTCTAGAAGCTGTGTTTAGGTGCTGGTTATGCTGTGTGATGCAGAGAAGAAATAAAATGGATACCTTCATTTCTAGTATCAGCTTTCTGAGCACAAGCCAGAAAACCAAATCCACATTCCTCAAGTACAAGGTATAGAGGGCAGCATCTTGCATGACTCTGCTTGGTAGAAGTCTGTTAATACAAAGATCTAATTTTTAATGAACTCTAACAATGGTTAGTTTATCATCACATGTAGAATTACTCAACAGATTTGCTCTTTAGATCCTGAGTAAATTACCACTTCCAGTTATATCTTAGAAATTAATCTTTGAATTTTATTATAGTTATAATTATGCTGATTATCATTAAGTTTCAAGAGAAAAAATAACCTTGTGTTGCCATAATATATACTTGGTATTTGGATTATAGTATTTTATTGTATTGATTTCTTACCATTTTACCTTCCTGTGGTGAGAATTTAATGTATAAGTTATAATTGCTTGACTTTTCAGATCCATAAGTTTGATGATCTGATGGTTATCTGTTGTTCTTGCCTTGTGTTTTCCACTACAGGAATCATCCCAGTTCCCCGGACTTCCTGAGTATGTTAAAGTAGTAGAAGTTGGACCTAGGGATGGGTTGCAGAATGAAAAGGTAGATTGATATCAATTTTAAACCGCTTATTTTAAATGCTAAATTAAATGTTAATATTCAGATTTTTAAAGGCTGATATGGATTCCACATGCTATACTATTACTTGTTCTCAATTGTTAGTTAAATTTATAAATCTGAACTAGGATTTGCTTTTGGTTAGGAAGTCATTTTCTGTTTATACTTCAATAGGCCCTCTACAAATTAGTTATAAAATATCTTTTAATGTTTTCATAGGTTATAGTTCCTACAGATATAAAAATTGAATTTATCAACCAACTTTCCCAAACTGGGTTGTCTGTAATAGAAGTGACCAGCTTTGTGTCTTCCAGATGGGTACCACAGGTATGTACAGCCATGATTCCTTATCTGGATCCTTAATTCAGCTTTGCGAAGGTTTAGAAAACAGTGTGATATACATTGTGATATAATTACTAATTTGCTATGTTCTTACAAAATTTTAGCCCACGCACTGAGAAAAAATTAAAGAAAAACCCCTGTGACGAAATATATCAATTAAGTCCTAAAAAGTTACTAAGAACTCCGTTTTAATCCTACCTGAGTATATGGTCCCATAATGAGCAGAGGATAAGATTTATCCCTGACTTCTCATCCCCTCCACTAAGTTGAAGGTTCCTCTGAGATTCTGCCTTCAATAACTGTCTCTGCCTATGCTCTTTTTGCCTAGTTTTCCAACATTAATAGTCAGTTCTAAGGGAATGAAAAATCTGTGTTTCTAGCCCTCCCCTCTCTGATAAGCTTCAGCTAGATGGATGGCCAGCACCTCAGATCAGCAGGTCCAAAATCAGACTCATTATCATCTATCCTACTTTTTGCTAGTAGCTCAACTGTTCCATTTGGAATCTCAGACTTGAATGCTCAATGGGTTGTATCCTATATATAGTCAGTTACTGACTCATAAAAATTCAAATTCCTTATACAGCATATACTTATCTCTTCAGTCTCATTGATACATTAGTAGTCCACACCCTTAATTGATTAATTACTATGATAGTCCCTTAAATGATATCCATAAGCACTGTTTCTCTTTTTATTTTCCTTATATATTTTCCCATTGATTCTAAAATAATCTCCCAGAAATATCAGCCTTCTCAAACTCCTATATTCCTTAGAGGTTACCTTCTCATCATTGAAAAAGTCTGGGAACTTCAGCCTGGTATTCAAGGCTTTCTATACTTGGTACTTTTTTTCCCTTTCCAGTCTTAACTGTATTTTCCTACTTCATTTTCCTGAAGCCCTGCCAAGCCAAATTGCTTTTTGATTTTCATTTACATGTCCTGCCTATTTAGCTTTATAGCACTTTATCAGTACTTGCTTATGTACATCTCAGTCTGCATTGCTCTAAACTTATAACACGATGATGTAAAAAGGCTTAGATCATTAAAGCTTGTTAATCGCAAGGCATTGGAAGCAAAAGAAACCACAATACGATTAATAGTATTAGTAATATGTCACATTTCAGTTTTCAAATATGATTTACTTTTCTTCATCCTCAATAGACCATAATTTTTCTTCATCCCAATTATCACTATATCAATAATATTTTTATAAATATTTTCAACAGTCTGCTTCCTGTAGTATAAGCCTTATGAAGGCAGTGACTGTGTCTCTCCTGTTATATATCCTCAGTGCTTGGTGCCTAGTCAGTAGGTGCTCAGTAATTTATTGTGAAATGGATAATGAATCAATCAGCATAAAAAAATAACATCATTTTCAATTTTTTGGTTTGGACAAGTGTACTTCCTTTTGGTCACATATTTGGCACTGTGTAATGAAGGTCACAAATATTTTTCTTAGGAAGACACAAATAGCTTGATAAGACTGTACATATTTCTTTTATATTTTCATTTTATAAAATGCTAGCTACTATTATTTTACTTACTGTTATTAATTGTAAGAGAATGTGAGACCCTTTTATCATCTTTATGTCTTCATGAAATCGCTTCTGCATTTGATTCAGTCAGTGCTCATTTCATATATTTTATTATTGTTGGAGAGACACTGGATAGTGTGGTATAATTTTAGAGGAAGGGTTAAGAGAGAACAGTTTATGGTAATCTTAATTGGTGACCAATCAAGTTATCCTTTAGATGTTATATGTTACTAGGCCTCTTCAAGATACTTTTATTTCCGCAATAGTTTTGTAAAACTGCCTACCAAGTATTCTCCTTTACTACTGTGCTTATGGTCACATTTATGATTGCACAGTACTGGAAATTGATTCATAGGTTATTTTTTCAGACTGACCTAGGACACACCCCGTGACATTTAGAAGGAAAAGGAAAGAATACCTTCTAGAGGGCCAGACTTCTTGCAAAACTAGTTAAGAGAAAAGATGGACCTAACAAAAGGGAAGGCAGTCCCTCTGTGAGCAGTACTCGGAAAATGACTTCTGGCCTCACGTTAAGTAGATACATGTGATGGGACCATAAAATAATATGATTTATTCTGCACTTGGTCCTGAGGTGAATTTAGGACTTAACCTATTGAGATTTAATGAGCTCTTCCTAGGCTCCAAGTATCATGGAATAAATGGCATAATTCCCCTCATAGCTCTTGAGGACAGCTGTGGCGAGGTGCATGCACCTCTGGTGCTGTGTTCTGTGCACATTTCACTGAGAGCTTGAGTAAACAGCTTAACCTCTTTAAACCTTGGGAATCCAGCCGTGATGCCTGCAGTGTGGGAGGTTCAGGGCAGAAAGGCAGGTGACTCTGTCCCTGTGCGTGACTGCCCAGAGCCCAGAGCACCTGAACCTCAACCAGTGCTCAGTAAGAAATGCCTGGCTGATGGACGGACTGGCTGACTTAGCCTGGGCTACACAGGAGTCAACTGCCTTCTCTTTGATAAACAGCCTTTTCTTAAAGATTAAAATATGTATTTAGTTTAAATATTTGATTGGGCCCAATCTCAATAATTAAAGATACTGATCTTTCAAATACTAAAGAATATGCCCTATATTTCACTTTTAATACTCGTCTGGTTACATGCATTGTAAACCCTCCCCAAAAAGTGTTTCCAGTAAATCACTTTTTATGGAAGAACACTATGTTTGAACCAAAGACATATGAGAGTCATATTCTTAAATTATACTGGTTACTTACTATTGGGTTGGCCAAAAAGTCTGCTACATTTTTTCTGTACAATGGCTTTAATAGTGCTTAGTTTTCTTTAAGTTCATTTGAAACAATTTTGTTAGATTATATTGTGACAGCTCTATATCAGCGTGCATTTAAAAAAAAACTTATCCAAATTGGTAAATCTTTGTGCAGCTATTTTAATATTGAAGATGGAAGAAAATATGCCAAATTTCTGTGTATTATCTTTTATTATTTCAAGAATGGTAAAAACTCAACTGAAATGCAAAAGAAGATTTGAGCAGTGTATGGAGAAGGTGCTGTGACTGTTTGTATGTGTCAAAAGCAGTTTGTGAAGTTTCTTGGCACTGTTGACATTTTGGCCAAATAATTCTGTGCTGTGGGGCTGTCTTATACATTAGAAGATGTTTAGCAGCACCCCTGGCCTCTAACCCCTAGCAGCCAATAACAGGAGAGAGCCAACATATTCAAAATATCCAAATCAATAAAGTTATTGGTAACAATGAAAAATGTGTTTGCTATTTTACCAAAAAAAAAGTAACAGACTTTTTGGCCAACTGAATGCATAGCACATCAAAGTGTTTGTCAAAGGGCAATACTGAGAAAGTTCCATTTTTGCAATTTTATTTTTCATAGTTGTATTTATGTTTTAGAAATGATTGGGCTTGCCTAAGCAAAGCACTTTTTATGGTTGTAGCTGCAGGTTATCTCATTGTGTAATTCTGCTGAATTCATTGGTTTTATGCTAACGAAAAAGACCTAAAGTCAGCGGGACTATTTTATAACGTTAATTTCTCTTTTTAAATGCTATATCATTCTCTTCCAGTGCTGAAGAAACTCTTATGACATCAGACTATCTAAATTAAAATAATGTCTGAGATTTATGACAGAACAATAAACAACAGCTTATTGTAATTGTCTGAAGTAACTTCTACTTCTAAAGACTGAATGTGGTCATCAATTGGTATTCTGTAAATTCTCTGCATCTTCTAATTCTTTCTGTGAAACCTAGGTCATGAGACTAGTCTTATAGTTTATGTTTAGAGTGCTGCCTGTTCACTTCTTTTTTTAGTGTTTTATAGCTTTTTTATAGTTTCCCTCCTACTGTTTTGTTTGGCAGTGGCTTTCTAACTAAATCAGCTAAAGAAAAGTCCCATGGTAGCAGGGTGCCATATAAAACAGGATCCCACACCTATAATCTAAATGGCCAGAGATGATAAAATACCTGCCATTGAAAAAAGAATATGTTCTTTACAACTTATCTAGAAAAAGTTTTCCTTAGAATGACTTACAAGAACATTTACACTGCGTCCAGATAGCTCCCTACTTGAATGGAACAAATAACCATAACGGCAGAAAGAAAACATGTTTGTAAAAATAGGTTTACTGCAACTTAGGAATGTGGCTCTTAGTAGTAAGCCATTTAAATCATTATAAATACAATAATTTAGAAAGTGAACTAGAGTTTTATATGCATCCTTAATTTAGTCATTTGGCTTTAAGCACTTTCATTCACAGGAATGATTAAACATCATTCATTGAAGAATAAGAATATATTAAATATATACAATACTGTATGTTCATGTATGTCATATGCAAAGTCTTAGTTATAAATATTTACTCCCTATTTAATTAATTTTTAACTATTGGAATGGGTGAGTCACAAATCTTGACATGTCATCATGGGCTAGAAATAGATTTTCTCTGTAAAAGTAAAAATAAATATACATAAAAGTCTGTGACAATTATTTACAAATCAGTCTAACACTTAAAAATATGGCCCAAGTACAATATAAGCAAGAAGGAATGTGTAAACTTTTCCCTTCTCTCCTTTTACTGTGTGTTGCAATTAATTCTTTATTGGTAATGAAAACACGTTTACTGGATTGAAGTTTAAGATTCAGATTTACATTGATGAGATGCAGGAGGCTGAGCTTCTGCTACTGAATTTCCTCCTGGCTTCTATTCCTGGCCCTGTTCTTTTTGAGGGGGAAAGGTGTGTGGAGAAAAGGCAAGGAAGAGGGTTAGTGGAGATGTTGATTTTGTGTGGGAGAGAGGAAGAAGGAGAGAGAGAGAGTGTGTGTGAAAGTGAGAGAGAGAGAGAGGGAGAGAGAAAGAGAGAGAGAGAGAATGAATGTGCCTGCCCATACAGACACACGGAGCCCCCAAATTCTTTTGCTTATGAGGCACAGTTAATTGGCAGGGTGATTTTATCATCTGGGAAGTGT